AAACTCAGACTTCTGTGCACAATAAAGCCCCCAGTCTGGTGAGTTATGCCCTCTTCTTACAACTTGGGATTTGGCCTGATGATGCTCCCAGTATAATCACTGCTTAGACGCCTACAAGAGTGCGGCAGATTCTGTGCAAATCTACTACCCTTCTTGACCATTTCGCGCGCTATTCACTGTCCCTGCAACAATGCTGCTTTGGGACACAGCGGACATCCTCGGTAACGCCGGTCAAAATATTATGTGCACGTTTTGTCTTGAGATTGGAAACAAAGTGCTCCGGCAATAGTAATATTAGTTTTCTGGAAAACATCTACTTACCGCTTATAAGTAGTAAAACCGTCAGCGCTAACTGTTGGCGCAATCCCAAGATTATCTTAGGCCCTTACACGGCGTAGGCTTTTCAGCAGACGACGGGTCATCCCACAAGCTGACGATGAGGGGATAAAAAAACGTCTTTTCAATTCCGTTGGAATCTCATGTAATTCGGACAGTATCAGTGACTTTCGTTCTACCACTAATTTGTCGGAAAATTCTCATGGAAATAGTGTTTATCTGTTAAGAGTGTGGATTCCTGTTTAGCGTACGTTCTATCGTACGCTACTAGTAATTATTTATTTTATGAAGCTTTTAGGACAAGTTTCTGCAGAGAAATAATAAGCGGAGAAGGGCATAAAAGGATAAGAGGCCTGCACTTGCTTCATGGAGGATAAACTATCAAATTCTGTGGTCTTGGAAGCATAGCTAGACTACTAGAGTGGAATAGATAAAACTGTGTGAGCTGGGGTGCTGTTATGAAGTTGGGCTGCTTTTGCTGCCTCCCCCATTCTCGGGTTTATGCGATCCCCTGGACCAGTTCGCCCGACCACGTTGTTTTTCCATCTCCGCTGCTTGCTGAACGACCCATTGACTTGTCTCCCGAACGAACTTGTTGCACTGTGAACCAGGCGCTTGGGTGACGGGACCATCGGTGGTATCGATATCATCCGATAGAGGCTCCACATTCTTCAGCAAATTCAGAATGTACTCAAATCTGCAAATTTAAAGAAAACTGTTTCGTCCAAAGGCATACAGTATAAGATCCCCCTAATGCAGCTAAAATATTTGGCCCTATAAATCTACCTTCTTGCATGCGTCATCCAAATTTTTCATTCGTTCAATTGTTAAACAAAGTAAATTTTAGCAATTTGCCGTTTTATTTTTCTATTTGGTTGAAAGACACTTTTTGGTATTCTATTGGCTTTACTTTTTCACCTATCTATCCTTTACAGCAAATTAGCCTACCATAAGGTGAAGTCTCAAGGGCGAGGTTCATAGTCGATAAAAAGTGGCCAGGAATATTCAGGAATCTTTTCATGTGAAAAGTTCAGTTGCCTCATTCACAAGGTTGCAGTGGCCCATGGTCTTGTGCAAACGAATATTAAATAACGTTAAAATGATGTAATAACCAGAGGTTTAAATAATACAGCAGGGAATCCCTGAAAAGTATCATTTATCTGGAGCACCATCGTACCCTTTTTCGCAAAATGCTCTCTATTTCATTGCCCCAATTTTACTGTTATTTAAGTTGCAATTTTCCTAGACCGATACCCGATTTTAGAAGAAATGTAACTCAAACTTATTGGGAAGTCAGCTACTGAATTGAAGAAATTGCATACTGAAAACAAGACGCTCTGAACAGTTAAAATGTACAGACGTACGCATCAGTCTTCAAAGGTGTCGGTAAGGGACCATCAAATCCGTCCCTTCCGACGAGCCAGTAGGTTTCAACTTCTCCTCTACCTTTTAAGCTCACTTTGCCGCGGTATTCGAACTTGTAGCCGCCCAACTCGTCCAAGATCACTTTTGTCGCTGGGCTCACATGGATGCGCAAAGCTTTAAATGTGAAGGTGGGGATGGGAAGGCAAACGTTGAGCTTTGAGTTGTACCACTATTTTATCGAATAAGTTTACGGTTGTTAATGTTCATTTTTAGCGATGGTGATAGCGACAATATCTGTTTCTGCTTGCTTAAATGGTCAGAGTTTACTTAGCGAGAGTCGGCAAATTCGTGATAAACGGCTACTCAATCATTAGAAGTTTGAAGAAGAAGTCAGTGCCTTTCGAAAGGCGTAGTCTACTAGGAACGGTAAGCTCCAGAACCATAGGTGGCTGCAATTTTGTATAAAATTTCTAAAATTCGTTCGTCAACATACTAGCCCATCAGGCGTCAAAAACATGATACATGTACATTAGCTGATACGTAAAACACCGTTCCACATAGCGGCGAACGTTCCGGATACTCTTTCTTTCAGAAGTCAAAGTGTTTCTTTCCCCCATTTGGCAAATGCATCATTTATAAGTTGTCTTGAATACACATGCCAGTTATTGAAAGAGGAGCCAGATATTTCCTCTGGACTAACTTCGCTTGTCTGGCAATTGGAAAGTAGTCGTTTTAGCCACGATAGCCCACTCAATTCAGTGACCTTCTAAAAAGTAGCTCTTTGAGATGTCGTTTACTTTCGTCTATATATTATATCCTTAATCCAGTTATGGATAGCATTAGCGACAATCATAAGGGAGACGCAAATGACCAGTTTGGGCTTATTATCCGTCATCGGACAAACATACCAAACCCCATGTGTTGGAACACCCGAGAATCGAATCCATCACCTGTTACTTAGAAGTTCCAGACCTTAACTGTTGAGTCAGGGGCTCCTTGTCCTGTCCGGTGAAAGTGAGTAGATTAAGAGAGGTAATGGGGTGCTCATGGGTAGCGTTATGGAACATACTCGTTCAGTTGTGACTTGGACTTCATTAACCAGGTCTGTCAGCAGCTGTACAGCGGTTATTATACTATAGGCAACTGGCAGGAAAACGAGTTCGTGGCACAATGGTTAAGGTACTGCATTCCAGCCAAACGGTCGCCGGATATAGCCGTGGGTGTTGCAAGACCAGGGTCATGAGTAGCTGGTAACGGCTAATAAGCTAGAAATGCTCTTTTCAGCCAAACTTTTCTTTGTCGGCAATATCTTCCGGTCTATAGTAACCTAGTTGTTGTGTGGTTGCTGACGGAGCTCGAGAAAGAGCTCCAAGGCACCTCGAGAATGATGTACTCCGTAACACAATAGGTTAGCGCCCCTTCACCGCTACTACCATATTATGGATTGCTGATACAGCAAAGGCGGGGTGCTCGAACGTAACCTTAGCCGATATTAATTTCGGAAGTGAAACTGTTTACTTATCAAACATACTCAAAATGTTTGCATGCGAAACTTCTAGCAAGGCTCCATTCTGTTCTTCGTTAATTAGGTCTTGTCAAGATAAATGAACTTATAACATTATGGCTACCTTCTCCAGCTGATTCCATCCTGGACGCTGAATTGACGGTGTCTCCAAAGAGACAGTAACGCGGATTGGTCAGTCCGACGATACCTGCCACACAGGGGCCTTTAAAGCAAAAAAAATCATCTGTAAGTTAATCGTGAGGAACGTGCATTCATCGGCTTCTAACTGAATCCTCATCCTTGGATTGTTTA